ATGATAAAAAAGAATAACTGATTCCACTGCATTTCTTTATAGTATTTCACAGTGTACCAGACAAATACAGCAGCCCATCCATAAACCACTAATACACATAAACACAGCAAACAACAACACAGCAGCAAACTCCTTTTTTTTTCCTCCCTCGGGGCCACTGTAGTCCTTCTTCGCTAATGCTGGCTGTTTTCATCCAGCTGAGATATTCTTTGACACATAAACTGAGTCATTCCAGGCCAAAGCTAAAATAACCTCTCTGCCTTCTCTTAGCCTCATGCAGACACTCTAATAACCAGAGACATGGGAATGCTGATCTAATGATACTGTAGCTGTCCAGGAGAAATCTTGATGCTGTCCATCTTTCTTTAACGAGGTTTGCAACCGTTTGCTCCGCTATGAGATATAACATCATCCATCTTTTTTTTTACATTTACAACAGGCTGCCTTTCTTTGTCTTCTGTGGGTCACTAATTCAATCATAAAACCACACTCACCACCCGTGTGTACGTATGTTGTGCAAATGCAGGAGCCAAAGGTCCTCTAACCTGCTTCAGGATCACACAAGCTTCTGCGATCTAATGATTTTGAGGTCATTATCTTAAAGGGTCAAAGGGGTCAACTGTTTTTACATAGATTTAAACAGCTGAAACACCGGCATTGATCTTTCACCTCAGTTGTCTAAAGGTTAAATTTAGCATAAATCTGTTTTAGAAGCTGGTTTGTTGCTACTTGTTAGCTGCAAGTGTTTTGCTGGTCCAAAGCGGTAAAACACATACATATTTATTTGTGGTCTTACATCTTATTGTGGTGGTTTTGTGTCTTTCTGCTTCGATCTCTCTTTGTTTTATTTTGTTTTGCATTTATTTGTAGTTGTTTTGTGTCTCTTTGTAGTTGTTTTGTATCTCTCTGTAGTTGTTTTATTTTTTTTAAGTTGTTTTGAAATGTATTATGATTGTTCTGTTTGTCTTTGTGGTTGTTTTGTGTCTCTTTGTAGTTGTTTTTTTTTAAGTCTTCATTTTTGTTTTATGTCTGGAGCTGTTTTGTTTCTCGTGATTGTTTTTTGTCTCTATTTTATTTTATTTTTTGCATCTCTGTGGTTGTTTTATGTTTCTTTTTTGGTCATTTTCGGTCTCTTTGTAGTTGTTTTTTTAGTCTTTGCTTTTGTTTTAATGTCTGTTGCTGTTTTATTTCTCGTGATTGATTCTCTGTGGTTGTTTTAATTTCTTTTTTGGCTATTTTGTGTCTTTTTGTAGCTGTTGTTTTATTTCTTTATGGCTGTTTTGTTCGTCTTTGCACTTGTGTCTGTTTGTGCTTGCTTTACGCTTCTTTGTGGTTGTTTTGTGTCGCTGTGGTCTTTTATTTGATCTCTTTGTGGTCCTTTAGTGTCTCTCTTTAGTTGTTTTTTTTTCTCTTTGTGGTTGTTTTGTGTCTTTTTGTGGTTGTTTTCGCCCCTTTCTAGCTGTTTTTACTCTTCATCACTGTTTTTTGTCTTTGCAGGTGCTTCCCGTCCCTTCATAGTTACTTTGTCTTACTTTGTTTTATGTATTTTGATCTCTTTTCGTAATATTTCACAGGTGACCCATGTGGGTCCTTGACTTTTTGGACCCCTGGGTCAGTGTGTGGTTGGCCCATGTAGAAACTCACCTGCACTTCTCAGTCATTTTAACTGACTGTGCTTTGAAAGTTGTATCCAAATGGAATCATCCAGCACAATAATTAACAAATTACCAATCAGAGCTCATTTGATTCTGTATCTTTTCATAGAAATACTCCCACATGCTCCTTCCTCGTATGTGGGATTTCAAGGAGCCCCCTTTCCCTTTCTTCTGTTTTGCATGTGACGGGGTCACCCACAGGGCCAGTCACCGCCTTTAACCAGTTAAACCAACCAGCTGGGGAAACCTCCCCTCGCCTCTTCCAGCACCACACCCCCCCTCCCCAGCATCACCCTGTGACAAATCGGATGGAGTCCAGCTTGATACCCCAACCCCCATTAGACGGGTTACCATCCCCCCGCTAGGGGCAGGTGTACATATATGATACGACAATCCAACACCTTGTCACTGTGCTTTTATATCATGATCTTTGAACTGAAATGTGGGTTTGCATCCAGACTTTTACAGGGACGTTTGACCTTTGTTTGGTAACATTTTCACATCCTTGTGCATGTTGTGTGTGACAAGCGGATGCTCACAACAGAAGCTGCTGCTAAGAATTTCACACGTGCAAATTCAGGACACATTTTCCTATGAGAAATAAGCGACTTTTGACACCGTGAGGGCAGATGGTGTGCATGTGAGAACCTTCCAGGAGGATTTTTCTCCTTTAAACCACCAACAGTTGCAACAAACTGAAATCAGTGCAATTAGTCATCATGCAATATTGTGTGCATTCAGATCATGGGATTTATTCCGTGCCATGCCAGAATATAAAAAGATTTCCCTGTGCAGAAAGAAACTACAACTACTACACACTGGTGCAGTAGAGATGTCATGCAAAATCAGAGTCCTCCTGCTATTTGGGCTGTGATCCAAAGCAACAGCGAAATTAGATGAAGTCAAAGGCAGGCAGGGGAGTGTGGCACAGAAGGAGAGAGAGTGTGTGTGTTGTTTTGTGTGTGTGTGCAAGAGTGAGTGAGAGACCCGGGGAAACGTCATCTGCCTGGACTGGACTACCGGACTGCCAGCATACGAGCACCGGCCGGAGGAGGGACAGTGGCTCCACTGTGCAGCCGGACAGAGAGTCACTGTGCCTCGGACAGGAAACCGCTGCAGCTCCCGGGGTGTCTGAATGCTGGAGGACGCCGCGCAAAGTGACACCAGGAGCAGTTGTTTAGTGAGTGATCGCCGGAGAGGTGGAGGGGGGTGAACATGGCTTCTTCTCCGGTCACCCCAGCATCGCTCGAAGGAGGGACACCGTCACCCACCGGGAATGAGGAGACCACGACCACCAGACAGGTACACGTCTGTGACCCCCCCTTTTTTTTTTTTTTTTGCATGCCCGATAACGCTCCATTTGCGCCGATGTGAAGAAAAAAAAAATCCCCGCACCGAACTTCACTCGAAAACACGTGAATTTAAAACTCACTCGAGATTGTGCGCTTGCACATGCGTTCAAAAGCGATGTTGTCGCTGGTGTCTGACTCAGCAGAAACTGCTCTTCAACTCGGCTTGCATGTTATGTTTTAAATCGAGCTTATTTTAAAATAAAAACCCAATTTTAAATGCGTGTTTTTAAGTAATCGCGCAACAACCATCAGCATCGGTAAGCGGCATGGAGCGCTACAAAAGTTCATGTTTTATTTAAAAGAGTAGCACTCGGTTTGTATAATGTGTACCGAATTGAACAAAACACTCAGAGACGTACACAAGCATGTGAGTCACCTCCTGTCACTCGTGCATGTTGGCCGATGCGAAAGAAACCCTTAAACGTAATCGATTTGCAATGGAGTTTGGTGTGACGTACTGTCGCTGCCGTCACTGCTGCTTGCGCGTCGCTGACAGTGACACTGGAGTGCAGGAGCATGGATTGTCCCATATAGAGGCAGCAGGGTAGGCGTCTCCCTCAATGTGACACTTGCACTGCCGTCCAAAATCACTGCAAGAGAGTCATGAAGTTGTGTTGTGCTGGTGATCCTGTTTCTGTGAGATCCAGAGCCACTGATGGTCCTGGTGTGTTCTTGAGATGCTGAAAACACATTTTTCTTCCTGTGCACTATTATTGCACCATGAGTCACTTCTTCTTTGCTAATTTTGTACATGTTTTTGCATCATAGTTTGGCACATATTTTCCCCAGCATGTGTTTCTGTCAGATATGGATAAACAAAGAACGCTCATGTTTAGCTGGAGTACAGCGTGTTGCCTTTGTAAAGGTGACGCCTTCACAACAGGTGCATGGTGGCATTCAATGTCACCGGTGCCACAGCTCTGATGTCCTAATGTGTACGCACGCCTGGAGAGACGGGAATGCAAAGTGAATGCCAAATGTAAAGTTTAGACCGCTTGTTCTCGATCCTGGGTACCAGTGGGCTGCGATTCAAATTAGATTTCAGTGTTGACAGTGAGCATGTTTGCCCTGTGATATGTTAAAGCCTTCTCTATGTTTGGGAAATATAGAATTAGGGCTGGTCGTGTTTACAAGGAATCTGTTCTGCTCAGAGCATGAAACTGTTTTGTTGTGGGGACCCACGACCAGGTCACCTGTGTGCTGATGTTAATTTGGTCTATATGTTGTAGAATTATAGCCAGCAGTACATAAAGTAAATTCGGTGCAAAGACTATTCTTGTCAATGTAGCAGCAGGGGGAATGCACATCTTTTTGTGTTGAGTCGGACTTTGGTGACCTTTGACATGCAAATCTGCACTGACCGTGGCAAACTGGGAGATAAATAGTTCAAAACAGAAGACGCTTTCACGGCCTGTTAGCTTTGTTGGACCATTCATTTCAGTTTGTAGTGAGAAAGGAGAAACTTCTCATGTGCTTGAAGATGCACCATGAGGGAGTCATGATTGAAGCCTTGATTATGCTCCCTTACCGACAGGGACAGCTGCAGACACCATGGACCAGTAGTTGTTGTTAGCATACTGCTTTCTAGTCCATTTTAAGTCTGCTGGGAGGACTCCATTACATGCATGTGCGGTAGGTCTACATATTCCACGCTGAGCATACGTACCACTGTGTTTTTTAGCATTGTCAGCACAAATTTTGGGCTGCATGTGGACGACTGTGGAGACGATATTTACGTCATGTGGGCTGTCCCGTATTTGCGGATGCAGAAAGCATAGCACCAGTTTAAGTATTTATGCCCTGAAGCTACAGTGTACTGATGCCGTTTTGAAAAACACAGACTGAGTTTAATATGTAACAAACCAAAGAAACTGGGACGGTCAACATGCATGGCGGAGGTATCATCATTCTTCTATTCTGGATGAATAAGTCCAATGTTACAACTTACAATTGGGTAGCACAGAGTAGTTTCACAGTGTTTGAGCAGAGTCATTGGTGAGGAAGAGTAGGAGGAGAAAGAGGGCCAGACCTGGACATTTAACCCTTGTAGTATGTTTTGGGTCAATTTGACCCCATTCAATGTTTAATGTCTCTAAATAACTGATTAACATATTTTTTTCAGCTTCATTTAAAAGGATATTTACACATAAACTTGGGTAACCATTTGTCATGAACATTTTCTGGAAGGTTTAAATTGCTGGGGTCAAATTTAACCCAAGGAATTGATTATTTTCATGGAGGATACACAGGGAGGAGTTTTTAGGCTTTTAAGCAAAGACCAGAGAAGGACTTTAACAAACCAATCTAGCAGTAATTCCTACATTTAGACTGGTGGATGTTCTACAAATGGTAAACTGGGTTACCTGTTTGTGTCCATAATGGAATATGTCATGTGTATAAAACACTTCCTTTTAACTGGAGGCCATTGTCAATGACTTGGTGGCACAGCCTTTAGCAAATATTGAATACACAGTATATTGCAGATTTTTTTATGATGTTCACCGACTAACCATGCCTTCCCAAAAGACAACTATGCGACATGTGCACAAGCCTCACTTCTCTCCACCATCAGTAGTTTGACAGCTCGAGTTGTTGCGTCTCAGTCTGGCAGGCTGACAGAGTTTTTCTGTTGAGAGAGCATGAAATTCTGATACAGAGTGTTGCTAGGGCTGAGGTTTCTTGCAGGTTGGTTTCAAGTTGTGTTTTGGACGTCAGAGTTTGTGATAGAAGAGGCACAGAGGCGGACTAAAAGCTCCCAACAGTCAGCCTTGTTGTGCCTGCTGTCTAGTAGCCAGTGTTTTCCATTCAACCACAGTTGCAGTATTTCCTGTAAGAACTCCATTACCATTGCAAAGTACTGCACTGCTATGGACATGTGAGTATGAATGTTTGACAGACACTTGTGATATGCCAACGAAAATGACCTTACATTAATTCTATTGGCGGGGGAAATGATAAGAAAATTAAAGATTTTGTATGTAAAAATAAGCGCTTTTTTCCTGTTCGTATTAGACATGATGTTCCTCAGGGGCAACTCAGAGTCAAACCACAAACCTTTCAGGTCTTGGAATCCTGACCATTTTTCTTTTTTCCTGTGTTAATAAAGTGTGCTCATAACTGAGACCAAATCCTTTTAGTGCATAGGCCCAGTAATCAAATATTCAGTGTGTGGCCAAGCAAGCCCTGCATGATGCAGTTTTTTATTTATTTTTTTTACCTTTCTATTTTTCTGGGATTTTACCACATAAAACATTCAGCTTCAAATCAAGGGAAGTTTTCGAACAGTCTCAAGTCCTTCTTTTATTGACCTAAAATCAAAGTGAGAGAACAGTTAGAGCATCTGTAATTTCAGTAGTGGGATTTACTTGTGAGAGAAATGGAATATGTGAGCACAAGGAGCCTTGAAATTTGATTGGATTGTGGAAAAAAAGTGGGTGTGGCTTGAGCACGTATTGTCATGTTAGATCGGGAGCTATATAAGGGTTAAGGATCCTGTTTTCTCTGCCAACAAGCAGTCATTGTGGTTTTATACAATGGCCAGGGTTAACTAGATACAACAAGATTTATTTATGTAACTGTACATAAAAGATGAGTCATCGAAAAAATCTTTATATTTTACAGGAAGAGAAAAAAAACATATTTTGCATATTGCAAGAGATACAGCGTACGGGAGAAGTGAATACATCCCTGTGCAATATCACTTCAATATCAATTATTTGTGATGTTGCATTTGCATTATTTCTGTAAGTTGACATTATTTTGTCTTATAAATAATCCACAACAAATACTTGAGAGTTCGAAAACCTGTGATCTTTGAAACAAAACTGAATAGAACTGCTATTTCCAAGTAGCCTAATTTCTAATAAAGTAAATCTGAGCTATTTCTTTATAAGTTTACATCAAAATCAACCACCCTGCTGTTCAACTTAGCAACAATGCAGTCATTGAGAAGTGACACCGTAGGGAGTCATTTGACATTTAAGTAACATCAGACTGCAGCCGAGCTGAGAAAGATGGGGAGCACCGATGGGAAACTCCATTAATGTTTGTTTGGTTCATATTTGTAGCCTCATGAGAATCCCTTAAATTAAGCACAATATATCCTTTCCAATATGGGTGGCACTACCAATCGATTGGTTTAAGAATAAGTATGATTTCAGTCAGCCGAGACTTATTTTGTTGTTGTTGATGAGTGCAGCCCCAATACACATTATGAAGTTGTGAGCCTCTCAGGAAGCCGATGACTTCCTCTGGGCTATGCTGCCATGAAGAACAAATGAGCTTCTTCCCTTTGTTGAACCTCAGAAGCTCCGTCCAAAAAACAGTTCCTGTTTGCAGCCGTCGCAGCCTTCAGGATATTCACCTCTGGGTGTGTAAACGTGGAGTGACTAACATTGCAAACAGGCATGTCAGACCAGTGACGATGGTTTAGGGGGATTAGAAGGGGGGATGAACATGCAGTTTGCCACCAGGTCTGGTCTTCCCCTGTAGAGGAGGACATCTGCCACTCGTTTTTCTTCTGCCTCAGCCAAGGTCAGATTGTGACGGATAAAAAACCAGACTGCTGCAGTCTGATTGTGAAGGAAAGACAACCGGGAGAAGGGAAATGCAGAGCTTTGGTAGTGATAAATTAAAGGATGTTAATGTGCTGGTCACTGGGGCATCACATTAGGCTTCAGTTTCTTTTTTTAGCTGTATTGATGAGGAGGGACGTTGGGTTGGGGTTTGAACTTAAGTTCAAATGTCACAACATCTTTCAATCTTGAGGGAAAAAATGAAGGAAAATGATTGTGGTCACTGTGTTTTGTTCTCCACCTTCACAAAATGTATGTATTTTAGGTTAACAGACACGACATAAATGCAGTTGCTTCTAACAGTATTCTAACCCCTTCACTTTTTAAAAATAGTTAACGCTGACATTTTTGCTCACTGGCCTTCACTCAGTAAAGT